ATACTGACTGTTGTTGGTACAGTTGAAATTAAGCATATTTCATGACAAGAGGTAGAGATGTGCCCCCTCTTACCATGTCTTTGTGGACACAAACAGCACCGTACAACATGGGAGACCGCAGAAAAATTACATTCTTTCAAAGACTTCCATCAGTGTCACCTTTTGCATCTCTTTCAGGACCATTATGGCTTCCTCACAGTTTATTAACTGTACCTGTGCTTCACCTAGAAGTTCCAAGGTGGCTGTCAGGCAAGATTCATGGGATCTCCTGCAAACCTCACTTATCTTACTTTGCTTTGCTCATACCTAATCCATATGCAGGCTACAGGAATACCTAGCCACACAGGAAGGCTTAACTTCCAATACAGTCTGACAACTGTAAACTAAGGAATTACTCAGATACTAGTATAATAGGTACAATATTAAACACCAGGGGAAAAAACAAGAAGAAGAGAAAGAAACAGAAGCAGATGTTTGCATAGAAATAGCGTTTACTTTGTGTATGATAAATTCTGCAGTATGTTAGAGTTAAAAAGAAGGCTCCTTTCTGAGAGAGCATACCATTGTGATCCTATATGGATCAGATACATAGTTTAAGTTATGGGGGTTTCAGCTGACTGAAAAACTGTTTAGCACTTCAGGGTAGCAGTAAGAAAGCTGCTTTGCTCACATTCATTACAGCATTATAAAGAATGTTGTTGTGTTCTACTACAAGGTTTTTGTATGGGAAGAAGAGGTTTGCAGCCAGGGAACGATTAATCTGCATAACAGCAATACCAGTTACAGCCTACACAAAGTACAAGCAAAAACTAATTTCTTTCGAAACCATCAGCAAGTGTTAAGACAGCCCTGTGCTTTGAGGAGAATAAAGGCTTAGATCATGCCAAGGATAGGAGCAACCCGCTCCCCTTGAAGCACATCAACAGGACATCCTGCCAACAACACAGAGCCAATACCGTGCCTGACTCTCATTTTCCAAAACATATGCACTGCTAAAGGTGGATCAATGCCATCAGGAATGGATACATGTCTATCAGGAAGAGGAAAAAGATTTTATGTGAAGCTATCTTACAAATGACAATAGCCTGTCTCCCTTCCACCTCAAATACTCTTTTATTACTTCAAAAAATACTCTAAAATAGCCCTTTTCTCTCTTCTCTCCTGAAGAGAACAGCTTACCTTTCAGCTGGGAAAGGTTACGTTCTACCATGTACTTTCCTGCTTTATCAAGGCGGTCTCTGCCAGAGTGCAGTATCCTGTATCACACAGGGCCCTTCCTGGAAGGTAAGAACCAGCTGAAGCTAGTCCAGAGAGCTGCTTTTGTGCATCCATCTGGAATAACCAGACTCATCCATTCCATGAGAAGGGCTAGTCCTTGGAGAAGGGCTAGACAGAGGAGACACAATGACTATCTTCAAAATGATAATCATTCAAACTGATAAAAAGCCACTGCACACCCCAAGGAAACAGATCACCTCTGGATCTGCAGTGGATAGGGTAGAAGTAACAGAGAAGTGAACAGAGGGGTTTTAACAGAGAGGTAAACACAGGAAGAATGTCCAGGAAGGTTACAAATCTGCAACTGAGATGATGCAAGAATCTCACAGGAATGGCTTATCTGCAATCGTTCTTTACTTTGGGCAAGGGCCTGGATTTACTGATCGCTGGAGATCCCTCCCAGCCGTCTTTCTTCCATAATACTATATTCCCAGTGTTAAATTTCCCAGAACACAGGAAAATACCTATGCTCATGTAGAGTCACACCCCAAACAGAGGCTATTACGTGGAACAGTGTCATTGGTAGACAAGAATGACTTCAGCATGCAAGGTATCTCAGCCCCAGAGGCAAGGATCAATTTGCTTTCTCAGCAGCAGAATGTGTCCTGGAAGATACAGAGCAGGTGAGGAAGGGGCACTGGGGTTAAAAGCACAAGGAAGAATGAAAGCCCCCTTCCCATCACTCGATCTCAACCTCTTCCTCTGAAGACTACACCAGCAGGCCTCCACAACCCCCCTACCTACACTTTCTACAAAGAAGAGTCTACCCCCCTAGCCTCTTTAGAAGGCAGGAATGGCTCAGAAAAATACGAGTCCTCCTCCTTCATGACATATATAAGATGAAGGACAAAGCTGGGAAGGAAAAGCTAGCATAGATGTTGGATAGAATGGCATTCTCCTACTGCTGTCCCTGCGGGGCAGCAACTGCTGCTGTGGGGAAGACAGTAGGCACTGTCTTCTTTCACAATTAAATTCTTCCTATACAGGAAGGACCTACAGTCTTGTTTGGGGGTGGCCTAGGCAATACATTCTCCCACTGTGCCTTAAGCTGGCTCAAGAGGGAATGTCCTAACCTCGGGCTTAGATTTGCATGCTTAAGGTGTTTGCACTCAGCTTGCTTCTTGTGTGCCACAAACAGAAGAGCTGGGCTCTACATTGTCAGGAGGTAAGTAGTGGCAGACATGTTTCACTTAGCAATTGCTGACATTTTAGTGGACCCACACTACCACATTTTCAAGGATATTTATGAGAAGGACAAGCGTACAGAATTACAGGTAAGCCTCAGCTGTTTTTTCTTCCTGATCTCCATCACCCAGCTTCATGTGAGCGCGTGAGCAGTCAAACACGCACAGCAGGAGCTGCCCTTCTGACACTTTAATTTACCCCACCTCCCAGCATTCCTACATATATAAAAAGTATACAAACTCTGTCACTGAAGTACTGTATTCCTTTGTAAATTAGCAAAGCCAATGCTATGTCAGAGACCAGCAAATGTTTTCAAAAGGACCTGGGTGCTTGCCAGAAGTGCAGACAGGGCACAGTAAACAGGAGGAGGGGTAAGCAGCTTAGTAAACAGTACTGAGCAGGGGATGCTGTCAAGTTGAAAGACAATCACAGAAAAATGTGTCTCAGCACCACATTCAGTTATGACTCTGGGAAGGTTATTTAGTCCACCATAATGCTACCTGTTTTACCTTCCATCACTTCTTAATCTAAATTTCCAAGTGTGGGACAAACTACAAAGTATGGTTGCTTGCAAAGCAAGAACATGGGAACAGATATTTTCAGTGAATCAGACTTCCTTCAAAGCCAGCCCAAACGCATCTTAGCATAGGCCTGTACAAGCAATAGGGAAGGATTAGCAGCTCAGCCCACCCTCAGAGCAGCCAGCTCATCTCTTGCACAGTAGGCAAATACCACAGATTTACCTCCCTACCCTTCTTTGCTAAAGCCAGCTCTGGGCCTACTATCAATAATTATGATTTTCTCTTGCAAAGAATACAAAAACATACTTAGCTTTGAATTGCAGCAAAAATCAGATTTGCTAGGAAGAAGTATAAGGGTATAACTAAGTGTGGAAGTACGGGCATGCAGGTGGCCTAACTTTCCCATGTAATTACCGATTATTTACTTCTTCCCAATCAGGCTGCAGGGAACATGCAGCAAGGCAGCTTTAAAGGATGATTTCAGAAGGTGTTTTCCTAAGCTGCTTATTCTAATCACACAAGTATCCTTCTAACCATACTTGTTACAGTGAAGAGTTTGTTATGAACCACTGACAGTTTTAACATCTTGCCTCACTGCACTTTTGAGAAGAAATACACCTCTGTCAGTATTTGACTGGTATTTACAGCAGTGATAACAGAACCAATGTACTAATAATTTCCTCAGTGATACTTTATGACATGAGTGCAGATTATCTCTTTTGTCATTACAATATGGAAAAACAGAATTAAAATGATTTTATAAATACTTCCTAGGAAAAAACAAGTGAAAGAAAACAGGTCTCAGAAAATATAAAGTATATAAGACAATTACTTTCAAGTTATTGCAAGGGGAAACAGTCCAAACTGTGCCCTTTTGAAATAGCTCATTGCACCTTTGAAACACTAAATTAGAACATTTCTCTAGAAGCAGAAAACAGCATAAGGTCTCATAGGGCACAAGAGAAAAGCAAGCAATTCAGTGGATTACACAACACCAAGAACTCTTTTCCATTGTAGACAGGGTATGACAATCACTTAAATACAGTCCATGATGTGAGAAGGTACCAGAGAAGACTGAGTTTTTTCAAGCTACAAAACCCAGAATATCTCCTGTTCCCCGCCATAACATTTAGAAAGGGGCATAAAATTTAGAGAGGTTTTGTAAATTGAAGACAAGGAGAATTTTTTTGTAACAAATCAGGAAGTTCCTTTTTAATCCAATAGTAGAATTAATTAGCTGTTTATGAAGCATTTCTGTGGACCGTGTGCCTTTGTTAGGCTTAAAAGACCAGATCTGTTAAATTCTGAGTATTTCATAGGTGTCATTGTACAGCTGGCCTACAGCTGTGAGCAACCATATTTTGAAATAATTAGTCTGAAATACACCTGGGACTTATTTACCAAATGAAATGCAAAAAAAATTGTTATTGAGAAAAACTTAGCTATACTGTCCCCTTTTTATCCTTGGCTTAAAAACTAACACGCGCATTTACTCTTTGAAACATGCACAGTTTTATGGCCACTCTGTATTCCTTTTAAAAGACAGCTTACCATTGCTGCAATAACAATTCAAATACAGAAAATGTTGGTGGCATACCACAGGAAAGTGAGCTTGCTTCTTTTTGAACAGAATTAGCCAGGCAAATAATAAATATCACAATAAGATTTTAACCATGCTGCCCTGTTATTTTCATATACAATTATCCATCACACATAAAATCTGATCAGTTGTGTCAAAGATTACTACTGAAATCTACCAAAATCGATGGCTTGTCTCAGTTGATCGCAGGGGCATTAAAACACTTGTAGAAACCAAGGTACATCAGCTGGCATAGTGTTCTTGGCCACCCATAACAGTGGAAAGCAACAATAACAAAGAAAATAAATGCCTATAATGCCTATGCTTTTTTCCCCTGTGTAGACACTGCTACAGAAATTTCTGAACTGTAGATTTGGCTTTTGGAAGCCAGCATTGTGCTCACACACACATTAACTATTCATTTTGATTTGTCTTACCTGAGTGTAAAAAACCTCACTAAGAAAACATTAAGAACCAAAACCCTAAGGTCAAAATACATCTTGTCCAGCCAACATTTTCATACTGCAAGCTAGCACTCACTGAACTGCATAGTATTTAATACTTGCTTCTTCCATCCATTTTAACAGTGCCAATCACACACAACAATTTTTACCTAACCCTTTTCTCCTGCTCTCCTCATTAGATAAGGAGTGGCCTTCCAGATTAAATGCAGGTGCTCTTGCCTGACTCACAGTCATTTGAGTGAGTGAGGTGACTAATTACTGCTGATATAAATCCCCAAAACCCCACCAATACCCACAAACTAGGGATATCTGAATCTCTGCAGGCCATTGGTTAGAGTTAGGCTGCCCTTGATAAAGAGATGCTGAAGCTGCTTCCAGCCCTAACAAAACAGTATCAGTGGCTGAGATGCAGCACTCTGTACCCATGGAGATATTTCAAGGGTCTCCTTGGACTTAACGGCAGAGCCCCAGCAGCTGCACCTTCTTGATGCAGCTCCAGTGCCAGCGCTCCCAGGTCCTACAGCACCAGCTAAGGCCCTACAGTGCCACCACTGCAGTCCAGACTCCAAAGAGCATTGTTGCTGCAAGCATGGAGTGAGGGAACTCTATGATATTTCTTCCATCACTTGCCATTTTACAGAGCATGAGAAACTTTTAGCTGATACAGGGATTTTAACATGACTGACATTCTCACCCTGTGGACACTTCATTGCTACAGTCTCAGCTGTGCTATCTCATCTTCTCAAACTGAAGGTCATGGTCAGAGCAGCCTGGCAGTCTTTCTAATGGGACCTCAGAGCAGTGTCTGAGGTATTATCAGTCGCATTGAGTGCTGTGTTGCAGCTTTTGCACTACAATTTGGCACAGCTCCCACAGAGCTAGGGTTCAGTCTTGCTATCATAGCTTTTAGCAGTTTTATGCCAAGAGTGCGCAGTCCAGCCAAAAGAGATGGCCTTCTCCCTGGTAGATGATACCACATCAGTGTTTTAGCTGTACTCTGTGGAACGTGGATCAGACTAAGGGGTCTCGCTTGTTCTGTGTCCTAAAGTCCAGGCTAACAACAGTGTCCTCTCAATGTTTGACTAACATATGTAATTAATACCCACCAGAACAAGTTGGGAAAATCCCAGGGGATCTCAGAGCCTTGTTGCTATCATGCACACTCCACAGCAACGGACAGGAGGTTATGTAGTCCCAGGGAGCTATGATGAAGCTGCTGTTAACTTTAGTAACAAGTAGTTGTGCAACACCATTTTTTAGACACCCACAGAAACAGAACAGCCCTGGCCAGCCCAGGTACAGAGCTACAGACTAGGAACTGCGGTGCATGCAAGTCATAAAAGGAGCACAGAAATGTGACTGAGGTGGTATTGGTGAGCAAGGTAAATAGCTTTGCAGCGGCTGCCAAACCACTTGTTTTGCTGTTTGCGCATTACATCAACAGCATCCATCACCTCCACAAGCTTTGCAGAAACACCTCAGTTTTCTTTTCCTGTACTTCATCTATTTTTCTTCTCTCTCACACATACACTTCACCTCATACTCAAACAACAGGAATAAATTATTACATCTTTAGACATCGTGGCAACAGAGGCACTATTGACAGTTTAAGTGATGGATTCAGATAAAATCGAATTAACTCCTAAACAGAAAAACACAGAGAAGTTTGATCTGGGAAGCTGCAGCAATTCTGGAAATAATGAACTGATTCCACACAGCAGAAGTGGGTTAAGTTTCTTGTTCTCCTTGGAGCACTAATTTTTAGGCCTTCCTGCCTGAAACATTTGAAAACCCTTATTAAAATTTGTTGGACAGCTCAGGCTTCACAATATCTATTTGGAAATCCAGCTGTTACAGCACACAAAATACAGCACACAAGGCAGAAATATAAAATCTACTTCAAAAGGAACAAATGAGTTTTTCACCACCACCCTACTCCCAAACTGAATCACTAAGCATATGATGAACCATGATTTTCTTGCAAAAAGCAAGGATCAAGTCATGGCACTGGGTCAAAGCTCTGAAGAAGCAACAGAGCATCTGTGCTGAGTATACATGTGAGTTTAGTACAACAACTTAGATGTAGCTTCAAGGCCTGCAGTTTAAACAAGGATTGGTGAAAAGGTGTGCTATAGATTCCAGTGGTTTGCAGAACACAGTAGAAGGTCAGTCTACCTTAATAATCTTCCTTATTCAGAGCAGCAAGCGTTTTTTGCCTTATCACTGCATCATAACAGCCACAAAGGCCCTCCTCAAAGGCTGATGTCTCACTATGATATACCAGTGAGCATCTAAGAAGTGATTTATATTAAATTGCATCATCAAACCACAGAGCTTTTACCATGGCAGCTGCTAAGTATAAACATACACACCTCTGGATCTTATTTTAACTACAGAATCTTAAGTAACTATTGAAATTTACAGCTCATCTAGCAAAAGATGAGGGGGAAATATCAGATTGGAGATTTATATATTACAGTGGGTCATCATAACCAGGAAAATAACTGTTTCATCAACAAGAGACCCATTGCAATTGTAACTGTTATTTGTATTTCACCCACTAAACCAGCTGCCTCTTTGACTCACCACTGCTCTCTGTGGAAAGCAAAACACCACTGTGCACAGTAAAACCTGAAATATATTTTTCTTCCCATCAGTATCTGGGTCAAGCATATAGAAAACTCTTTGTTTTTCTCTGAGCTTTCTTCTTTGTGCTACACAGGAGGCACCCATAAGGATATCCATATTGGGCCTGGTCAGGTCCACATAGCTCAGTACTTCACCTCTGCCCACAGGGCAGTTACCATGTAATGAAGAGGAAACAGTGAACCTCCATGCGTCAGCAGAGCAGCATCGACTGGGGTACTGTTGTAGTGAAGGAAAGTTCTGCCTCGTGGTAACCACAAGCAGTATAAACACACACATACTTTGGTCATGCTCCTGTCAGCTCTATCAGCTCTCCTGCATGTCAAGCATTGACCAAACACTGACTGAAGCAGGACTGATTTCTTACAGGATGTGGCTTCCACAAGTTAAGTCAGGTCCCTGGGTGAATGTAGAAAGCACTAAGGGGTCTATCCCATGTGTCTACAGAAACCAAATATTTGGTTCTTTCCAATATATTGATTTGATAAGTTTCTGCATTTAAAAGTTTTTTTTTCTTTTTTTCTTTAAAAAAAGAGTTGTTTTTTTTTCTTTTTTCTTTTTTTCTTTCTTTACTACAAAGTAAAACTCAGCTGAAGTGAAGCAATGGGATGCTTTCTCTGTCACTTAAGTTTTCTGAGATCTCAGTCCTATACAGCAGACTAAGTCTAAACAGAGAAAGCTTCTCACAAAACCCTAACATGACGACAACAATGCTTCCCAAACCACCAGCATCTGAACCCCAACTCAGGAAGGTGTCTTGGAATTCTAAAGCACACACGCGCGCGCACTCACACACATCCTATTACAAGTTTACACATCTCAGATTGCCTGTCTTCAGCAATCACGTTCAATGGGCTCTGCTTTACCCTCTGCTTTGAGCAACACTATTTGGAAATTTTTCTGAGCAGTGTTTCTATTCAAAAGATGCCCAAAAGATCACAGAACTGGCATATGAATTCCAGGTAATTTCTGGGATCTGGTTTTAGCTTCTTCACAGATTCAGATACCTGAGCTGGTTGAATTTACTCTATTTTTTTTCAAGGTTGCATTGTACCAAAGACTTTTTTCAAAGGAACGAGAAAGAAAACCAATCCTCTGGAGAGAAACACAGAGTTGTAAGGCCTGTGAACCTGGGTCATTGATGATGATGACCCAGTGTGGGTCATTGATGATGATGACCCACTGTGAACTTGGACTCCTATTTATCTTTCCTGCAGCAGGTCATCTCTATCTTGAGGGACCACTGACCTACATAATGTCTAAAAGAGACTAATTAGGAGAAAATTAACAAAGTGGATTGCATTAAAAATTGATCCCATTTAAAAATAAATCAGTGGCAAAGCCAACCATCAATATGAAGGAAGAATTACTTTGCAAATAGGTGACATTTGTGCAGTAGCAACAAGATCATAGTCCATATTTTCTATCAGAAAAATACAGTTCTTTTGGTTTGTTTTAGCTAGTTAATGATAAACTGATCCGGTGCTGGTGGAGATTTTTATTTATTTGTTTGCTTTAGTGAAACAAAAGCATCTTATTGCATAACTTTGCAGTAAAGGGACTGCTGAAGAGTAGTGAGAACAGTTGTGAAGACCATCAATTCACACCCAGATATGAGCCTCACTGCTCTTCTGGTAAGGTTGTAATATAACTGCAGACATCCAGTCTGCAGTATTTTGGCTGGGTCATGGTTGCAGGCACTATATCAGACAAGTCTCCAGCATCCCTTCCTGGAAAAGCCTTGTTAAGAGCTGTAATATCAAGTATGATGTTCTAACCACATCCTGCTATTATGATTTTACAGAGAATATGCAGTTGGAGACAAATGTACAAAATAAATTCTTGTTGCGAAGATGACCTAAAAGTATCTTGGCATTGCAGTATTAGACAAAATAGTTAGGTGCTAGTGACTGCATTTTATCAAAGTTAAACTGATGATGAAATTATTAACAGTGGTTAATTTCATATCAAGTAGTTATACGAAAACCAGCCAGTAGTTACCTAGGTGTCTATTCAGAGGCTGATTACTCATCTTGTACCATAAAACTACTTTTATCAAGTTTATTAAAATTTATATTATTTTTCTGGCTAGCTAAAGAAGTTGAAACTTACTGATGGCTTGAATAAAGGTGCAGTTTTAGCGCACTGCCTTATTAAAGCTGGACTAAACCGGTCAAAAAGCATCTTTACCTTTTTGAATGGCAATGCAACAGAGTGCTACAGCAAATTACTTCGTTGCAGAACTGACAATCTTAACCTCAGGATAAGTAAAGCATGCAATGCAAGTCAGGCAACGTAATAGGCCTGCTTGTTTCATGGTTTCTTCTTTTTTTCCTGTGCTCCTTCACTGCTATAGTTTCCTTCAAGAACACATAGCATTTATTTCTGAAAATATTGTCTTCACAGATAATCTTTTAAAGTGTTTCTGCAGATTGTTTGCAATCAGAACAAATATTTTCTTTTAAGATATCCAACTATCACAATTCTAATCCATAATTTGGTCCTTCATGAGTTCTTAATTTTTACTCATATGCTTG